GTGTGCACGAAACGCGTAGGAGGAGCCAGGAACGCCGTGACGTCTCGCCGCCGGAGCATCGTGGAGCTCCGGCGGCCATCTTTACCATTGGACGGTCAGTCCGTTGTTTTATATACACCGCTGTGTACCTTGGAATGCTTTATTTGTTAATAAAACCCTTTGTAATCACCTACTACACTATGGAGGCGTCCTTGTTTTGACTCCCTTGGGGAGTATTCATTTGCAGTCATCGCTGGGTAAGGAACGTATGTGATCTTCAAGGAGAAGTCCACAGGCTACCTACCAAGGGAATCACACAGAAACATCCAGGAGCTCTTGAGGGAGGCTAGCATACTAACCCTACTACCCTATCCTGACCAGCTGATGTCCCTGAGGGGAATACATATTAACAAAACGCTCATTTCCCTGGGCGTTCTGGTGAGTGTGCATTCTTTCAGCACTATTTTGCACAAACGCCTGAGCACCAGGAGTGCAGAACAGAGAGGAGAACACTAAAAGTCACCCTATTTTATGAACTATATCACGTTTGTTCAGTCATTTATTCACATGAATCATCTATTTGTCTTCATTGAGTATCTTGGTTTTGTAGCGCTGCATTTTTGATTTATGTACTATATATATGAAAGAACAGCACTGTCATCTTAATCCACACCTAATTTAGACTACAGAACACCCCCCCCCCTCCATTATGTTCATAATATAGAGAGGGTATGGTCTGTAGTTCATAGAAGAAAACTGGATGGGATTGACAACACTTGCATCAGAGGCTGAGTGTACAGGAAGTTATAAACTCACTAGATTTCCATCAGCATCAACAGATGTTGTTTTCACACTTATTGAACAGATAAAATAAAATGTTTTCAACTATATATTTAACATACACAAAAAGGGACAAATAAGAGAAATCTATTGTTTAAATATGCTTTTAGACAGGGACTAACATAGTAATATATACTGTGCAAAGTGTTATTGCAAATGGTGATCTCTCATGAAACAAACATAGTAAATTAATTAAACAAAATACGAAAAGAACAAATTAAATGCAAGTAGACATGTTATTCTAATCAGATTTCAGATACACATCCCTTTGACATTTTAGAAACGTTCATTTTACTTTGCGGCAATTCTGAAAAAAAATATACTTCATCCTAGGTACTGTATGTAAAATTCCGCACCCACCCATGTCTGAAGGATCCAGAACTGAAAATGAATAGAACTTTTGTCCTTATTTCGCAATAATAGGCAACCTAAGAACAATTGCAAAAATGTGAGATTTAGGGACATTTTACACGCCTTGTTGAGAATATCATATTTAATGTCATGAAGTGATGACACCTCATAAGATGATGACAAATGTGTCTTGAAGGGTATAAATATAGTGGCAGTTGTTGGCTGTTCTATGACATCTTCTCCATCTACCATCTACCTATCCTCTTTGGTCTGAAGACTGATCTGACATCATGAAGACTGCAGTTGCGTTTCTATTTGTGGCAGTAACCTACTGCTTTGGTAACTGTATTTTGTTTTTCTTTTTCAGTCAGTATCAGTTTACACCTGGGTATTAGCTAATATCTGTCTAAAAGGTGGTAAAAATATGGTTTGCTGACTAATTTTCTGCTTATCTGTCATTTCAAAAAAGCAATATACTGTATATTAGTAGGTAATTTCTTTATTAACGTTTGATTTGTCCATGTATAACTTTCATGCTTATGTTTAATTGTGCAGCTTTTAGCCTCAATGGACATACTGCCCTTGGAGGACATGAGGCCGGTAAGTGAATGTTATGATCCTGTTTATGATGAGATTGTGGTATGTTACAGCAAAGCATTCTAGCAATGAAAATATAAAAAATGCATCTTAGCATTTCATGATCTTAACAACATAAGACAGCACAGTGGCTAATGGTTAGCACAATCCCAACCACGATACCACCTGACTGGAGTTTGCATGTTCTCCCTGTGACTGCATGGGTTTCCTCCCATACTCCAAAGACATGCTGGTAGGTTAATTGGCCCTAGTATGTGTATGTATGAATGTAAGTTAGGGACCCTAGATTTTACACCCCTTGAGGATCAGGGACTGATGTGAATGTACAATATATATTTAAAACGCTGCGTAAATTTACGGCACTATACAAGTATCTATAATAAATAAATAATAAATAATTAAACAAATTATCTAATATAAGAAAGTAGGCAGACAGCAAGCTCCCTTGCAAATAAAATTATGTCTCCTTTGCAAGCATAGAAAATTCAGTTCTCTAAAGATCTTAAAGCAATTTCCTCTACTAGCTAATGAAGTCACTGAATATCATAGGGCCAAGCTATACAAAAATGTTTATTTACTTTTAAGCATTACCTCTGTGACGATAGACTTCTTTGCAGCACAATTCAAGTGCATTGTAGATAGAGAGGGTAAGGACTAGAACCCCTATCAATATGTTATTGCTTTATGTTTCCCATCTGGATCCCAGTAAATTTCAGCACCCCCCCACATTTGAGCTCGTGGCCATTGTCCTTAAGACAAAAAATTGTAGGACAGCCAAATTTTCACAGTTGCCACCAGAACAGTAGGTAAGGGGAAATCTTTGAATGGAAAAATCTGCTCCAGTGACAACAACTCTCCACTGTCCCCAGTGACAAAAGGAGAATAACCCTCATTTAGTAGAGATTTCCTCTCACATTCTGTTGCATCTTTGGGACAGGAAGTTGAAGGAAATCTCTAACAAAAACATACATTTTTCCCCATTCTATGCAAAACTGAGGGAAAAAATGTTATACATATACTTTAATCTATTTCTGCTGTGCATTTAACCACTTGCCTACCAGGCACTTATACCCCCTTCCTTACCAGGCCAATTTTCAGCTTTCAGCGCTGCCGCACTTTGATTGACAATTGCGCGGTCATGCAACATTGTACCCATATGAAATTTTGATCATTTTTCTCTCACAAATAGAGCTTTCTTTTGGTGGTATTTAATCGCCACTGGGCGCTTTACTTTTTGCGCTATAAATTAAAAAAAGTGCAAAAAATTTGAAAAAAAAAAAAAGTTTATTTGTTTCTTTTATAAAATTTTTCAAACAGGTATTTTTTTCTCCTTCACTGATTTGCGTTGATGAGGCGGCACTGATGGGCACTGATAGGCGGCACTGATGGGCACTGATAGGCAGCACTAAAGGGCACTGATAGGCAGTACTAATGAGGTGGCACGGATAGGCGGCACTGATAGACAGCACTAATTAGGGGTCACGGATAGGCGGCACTGATATGCAGCACTGATAGGCGGCACTGATAGGTGACACTGATGATGGGTAACTGATAGACGGCACTGACTGGCATCACTTCTGGGCACTGACTGGCGGCACTGACTGGCACAACCCCTGGGCACTGACTGGTGGCACTGACTGGCAGCACTGCTGGGCTGCACTGGTGGGTGGCACTGGTGGGCAGCACTGGTGGGTGGGCACAGGTGGGTGGCACTGGTGGGCACAGGTGGGTGGCACTGGTGGGCACAGGTGGGTGGCACTGGTGGGCACAGGTGGGTGGGCACAGGTGGGTGGCACTGCTGGGCACATGTAGGTGGTACTTCTGGGCACAGGTAGGTGGCACTGCAGAGTGGCACAGGTGGGTGCACTGCTGGGCACAGGTGGGGGCACTGCTGGGCACAGGTGGGGGCACTGCTGGGAACGGGTGGGTGGGCGGGGCTAGTTTGCGCACTGCTGGGCGGAACTTGCGGGTGTCACTGCTGGGCACCGATCATCAGGGCACTGATCATCAGTGCCCTGATGATCGGTGCCGATCCCCGCTCTGACAACTTCCGGTTCTCGGCAGTACTTTCCTCACGATCTGACAGCGTGAGGAAAGTGCAGCCGAGAACCGGCACTTGCATTTCCCTGTGATCAGCGTGTCATTGGACACCGCTGATCACGTGGTAAAAGGCCGGTGGGATCGGCCTTTCACCACATCACGTGATCAGCTGTGTCCGTAGGACACAGCAATCACGGAGATCGCCGGGTGCGCGCCCCCTGGGGCGCGCAGGAGAGCGCGTTCTGGGAGGACGTCATATGACGTCCACTCAGAACTGGCCGGCCACGGTGAAGCCGTCATTCGGCTATGCGCGGTCGGCAAGAGGTTAATGTAAAACTACAGGTAGATATAAAGCTCATATTTAATCCATGTATACATATATTAAAAAAAAAACAGTATATTTGTGAGCACCTTAGTCTGATTTTATATCAAACTCCTGCAATTCCTTGTTAAGAAGTAAGTAAAACAGGAAGAGGAAGGAGGAGTTGGCTGCACATGAATGTCAAGGTAACACTTTGGGGACCATGCTAATAAAAGGCAATAGAACAGTGATGACCTTACGGCGTGCTGCTTCTCCTCCATCATCCAACCACAGGTTTGCCAGGTCCATAAGAAAGGTGCAGACGCAAAAAAGATAAAGCGTTTTTAAAAGTGGAAAATCACTCAGTAACAGATGTATCTAATCTTCTAGTAGTCACATCTTATCTCAAACAATATTAAAGGATACGTTCACCTTTATTAACATGTTACACCTATATTAAGGGTATAACATGTAACATGTTACTAAATTACCTACCAGCACCTGGACCCAAACTCCCATTGGAACAGCGGTTGGGAGATTCCTGTGAATTAATAGACTACAAGTACCATAAGCCACTGCAGCTGATAGCTTGTAGTTCTCAATGAACTACAAGAGCGCTGGTTAGTGCTCTTGTAGTTCATTCATCTTCCTGGACATCAGTAACTCCCTGCCCATATGGGAGGTATGGGCAGATAGCTACACTGACAGTCTGCAGGAGCCTGACACCCATTACCTGCTGATCATGGGTGCAATGCTTTACAGGTTCCTAAGAAAATAAAATAACAAATGCACATAAAATGTGCATTTATTAATTTTTTTTAAAGACGAAACCTATCCTTTAGCAAAGATAAGTATAATTTTTTTGTATTTTTTTAACTTGCTAGAAACATATTTCTATTCTTCATCCTCATTGGTGTGTTATTTATAACAAAACTTCTCTGTCTATGCAGCCGATGTGCCTAAGAAAGATCTACCTACCATCCCCAAAGATTGCCTGCAGAAATTAATTCAGGTATACATTTAGACACACTCTTCTTCAATGCAGCCTAGAGGGAAAGAGAAGGATATTGTGGTATGTTTTAGTTCTTAGGTAATGATGTACAGTACATTTCTATAAAAATCAACTCTAGCAGAATGGAGAATGCACTCTGATGCATCGGATTGGATATTTGCAATGCTAAATATCCATGGCTGGACCTTTTTCCAACTCCATTACACAGGGGATGAAGAGATTAGTAGTTTACAGAAGGTTGATATGCTTCCGGTTCATATCACATGAAGTGACAAGGATACAATTCTGCATTTCTGACAAGGTCAACAGGTATTTTCTGTGTTTCCCATACAACCACCATATCTAAGGACTTTTACATATTTTTTTTTTGGGACGGGGGGTAGCTATTCTTTTAGATGTACTCTTAATTGGGTTTTTTGGTCACCTAACCTTCTCACTAAAGTGTTCCAAACGCCTTCCTGCACCCTTTCTTCCCCAGCATGGGTAATTAACATATTTCCCTGAATTAAACAACCAGTATCTTAGCCTTTGGTAATTGAAACTCTAAAATTAAAACTCCTTGTCCTGTGTACTGTTCCTTAGGATAAAGAATGTTGTTTTTGAATATTTATAGTAGCCCTGTATACATATTGTAACATGCTACTTAAGTCACTTTTAAGACATTTTTCTTTACCAAACTTGCAATCCTTTATTATTAGTCTTAATATGATGATTACATTTTATTTCATTTACAGACTGATCTCAAAAATACTCTTGAAACACTGAGGAGATTGCTGTGTTTGTACAAGCAAGGACAGGTATGTTTGTTCGGATTTTCCTTTATGTTGTTATAATGAATTTTGGACATTTACTTAATTTGTATATCTAAAAATTTCCTTTGTACCAGTTACAAATGTAGTAAAACACATATTGTTTCCTTTTTGTCACAGAAAGAAAATAATCACAAGCTGTTCAAGGACTTCTTAATAGAACTGCATGAGACTTTGGTAATACATTTTACATGTTAAATTATCTGCATTTATTGTTGCATTATTTTTTACCAATTGCATAATATTTATGAATGTATGATCAGTTTTAATGATTGTGATTTATATTTTATGCCATATAAAAAAAATCTTGGCTGCTTACTGCAGCCAACAATAAGGACGGCATTTATTAATAGACTGAAATTTAAAATGAAAAAGAAAATGTGGAATACCTCAATAAAGGTATTATTATACACTAGACTGAAACAGTTCACACTGAATGTATATCACTTACCATGTCTGCAAATAATTGTGCATAGAATACATGTGTGAACTGCATATGAGTAGGGGTATCTACTGGTGAGTGGGTCAATTCCAAGCATCAAGCTGCTTTCTCTTGTTGATGGGTCCTGCAGTTTTACAAAAAGTTAGCACACCTGTATATGATTCTCTAATCTCAATATTAATATAATAGAAAGAAATTAAGAAGAAAATTAGGAACTTCTTCATTAAAGGAATAGTCTATGTCAAGTGGACATCAAGTAGTTTAACAGGTTCATGGTAAGGCTTCCTTAAAGCTGAACTGCTGACAGATATAAAAACACAAACGTGTCTTAAAGTGATATTAAAAGGCAGATTTTTTTCAAAATAACAAACATGTCATACTTACCTGCTCTGTGCAGTGGTTTTGCACACAGCAGCCCTATCTTCCTCTTCTCAGGTCCCCCTGGCCAGCTTGCTATGAAGTCACCTGAGCATCAGCTCACTGGCTGTGATTGACAGTAACAGGAGCCAATGGCTCCCGCTGCTGTCATAGTCAATGACACTGGAGAGCCACTGCTCACATACACATCACTGGATCGAGATTATGCTTGGGTAAGTATTGGGGGGCCTAGGGGGACTGCTGCACACAGAAGGTTTTTTAACCTTCATGAATATAACTAGAGATGAGCGAATCGAACCAGGCGAACCGGAATTCGATACGAATTTCAGGAAAAATTCGATTCACGTCGAATCCGAATATTTGCCTACTTCGGGTGCGCGAATCGGATTTTTCCCGATCAGCCGGCAAAAGCGTCCCTGCAGAGAGCTCCGCTATTTCTGACAGTTCTCTGACAGAAGGAACACATGTACAGCGGTTGAAACATTGTATCTATTAGTTTCCATTTAGGATACAGATGTTTCAACCGCTGTACATGTGAAGAAGCTGTCAGAGAACTGTCAGAAATAGAGGAACTCTGCACATACACTTTTTGCCGGTTTGGAATTTATTATTTTCATCCTACTTCTTCTTCTTCTACTTCTTCATCCTCATCCTCATCCTCAGAAGAGAAGAAGAGGATGAGGATGAAGAAGAAGATGCAGATACACTTAGAGGAGTGACAGTTCTGGGACATTCCCTCCATACAGCGGTTGAAACCGCTGTATGGAGTGAATGTCCCACAACTGTCAGAAATAGACTATTTATGACAGTTCTGGGACATTCCCTCCATACAGCGGTTGAAACCGCTGTATGGAGTGAATGTCCCACAACTGTCAGAAATAGACTATTTATGACAGTTCTGGGACATTCCCTCCATACAGCGGTTGAAACATTGTATCTATTTGTTTCCATAAATGGATCCATTTATGGAAACAAATAGATACAATGTTTCAACCGCTGTATGGAGTGAATGTCCCACAACTGTCAGAAATAGACTATTTATGACAGTTCTGGGACATTCCCTCCATACAGCGGTTGAAACCGCTGTATGGAGTGAATGTCCCACAACTGTCAGAAATAGACTATTTATGACAGTTCTGGGACATTCCCTCCATACAGCGGTTGAAACCGCTGTATGGAGGGAATGTCCCACAACTGTCAGAAATAGACTATTTCTGACAGTTCTGGGACATTCACTCCATACATGTCCCAGAACTGTCAGAAATAGACTATTTCTGACAGTTCTGGGACATTCCCTCAATACAGCGGTTGAAACCGCTGTATGGAGTGAATGTCACAGAACTGTCAGAAATAGACAGAAACTGTCACAGAACTGTCCTTCTTCTCATCCTTCTCCTTCTTCTCATCCTTCTTCTCATATCCTTCTTCTCATCCTTCTCCTTCTTCTCATCCTTCTCCTTCTTCTCATCCTTCTCCTTCTCCTTCTTCTCATCCTTCTCCTTCTTCTCATCCTTCTCCTTCTTCTCATCCTTCTTCTCATCCTTCTCCTTCTCCTCCTTCTCCTTCTCCTTCTTCTCATCCTTCTTCTCATCCTTCTCCTTCTTCTCATCCTTCTCCTTCTCCTTCTTCTCATCCTTCTCCTTCTCCTTCTTCTCATCCTTCTCCTTCTCCTTCTTCTCATCCTTCTCCTTCTCCTCCTTCTCCTTCTCCTTCTCCTTCTTCTCATCCTTCTCCTTCTCCTTCTTCTCATCCTTCTCCTTCTCCTTCTCCTTCCTCATCTCCAAGGGCATTTAAATTAAAGGTACAGTGTTCTGCACTAATTTAAAGGCTCTCTGAAGCCTAGAAACCCTTTTTATAAGTTAACTTCGTAGCGAATTAATTCGCATCGAATCGAATTTCTTTCTAGAATTCGCCGAATCAGCCGAATCGAATTTTTGAAAAATTCGCTCATCTCTAAATATAACGCATGAAGGTAAAAAACCTTAAGCCTTTACAACCATTTTAAATTAATTTTTTTCTA